AACAGTACAGATGCTAGTCGAGGCCCCGTGCTGTGTGTGGGAGACCCAATGGCGAACAGGCCTGCCCTCGCACTTTGGGGGCTGGTATTCTGATTTCCTCTTCTCACCCCAAAGTCCCCTGGGACCAGAGGGGTCCTTCGGTCCAGCTGGAGTTCTCGTTGGAGCGTCTCAGGGCTTGCTCGGGCTCTACCTTGGGAGCCTGGACACAGCGAAAGAGGCTGTGGCCTGGGGCCGGAGCTTTCTTCGTGAGACTTTGGAAACGGAGGCTGCTGGGGGGCATCTCAGAGCGGTCGGGTTGCGGGTCGTCCAATTCGGTTCCCCTTAGCAGCTCGGAGCCCCGGGGTGGGGAACGTTCCCCGCGCGTCCAAAGAGCCCTCGGCCCGATCTTCGCGGGTCGCGCGCGCCCTCTAGAGGCGATGGCCTCAGCCCCGCTCCCTGGCGCCCACCCCCTCCCCGGCGGCGGTGCCTTTCTGGGTCCCAAAAGGAGAAGGAAACGCCTCATCTCCCCTACCCAAAAGTACTCTAGAGTGGGCCACCGCGGGCTTCCCCTCTGCGCCCTCCCTTCGGCCAGGCCCTCCAACCACAAAGGGAGGGAAGAACGATGTGCCCATCCCGCCAGACCCACCAGGTGCCCTCGGGCTGGACCAGGAGGCGCGGGGCTGAGCCCCCGGGATGCCGCGGGCCAGGTCGGGCCCCTTGGCAGCCCAGCCCATTCTTCTGGGAAGGCGGTGGATTAGGCGATCAGATCAGCAGCGCAGAAACTAACAAAGGCCAGTGTGGGTCAGGCCCCCCCCCTCTCGTGCACGTCTGCCCGGCGCTCTGTACAAGTGGACTCGGGCCCGCCACCGGGAAGGGCGCGGGCTCTTACTCCCTCCAGCCCGCTCTTTCCCGGCCATCCCCAACCCCTTTCTGCTGCTCTCAAAGGCCGAGGACAGGACAGCTAGGGTCGTCGCTGCCCACCTCCTCCAAAAGAAAGCCGCTCCGGCCACCGAAGGCACAACAAAAGAAAACATGCCAGCAGCCTTCCCTGCAAGCATCTGATTTCAAATTCGCAGGGCGAATTCTGGAGCCGGGCAGAGCTGGGGGTGGTGGTGGGGGTGCATCGCTGTTTGTATCGGGAATCTCCTCCCGAACTAAAACATTCAGGCCTTCGCCCCAACTAGCCTTTCAATCCGTGGTGGCCAACGTCCAGGCCCAACTTCTCTCTTTACTTCAAAGGGAGCTTCATTCTCCCCGGAGGCTGAACTTTATGAATAAATTCATGCTGAGGGTAATGCAAACCTTAAAGGACCAGGGAAGGTTATATAATAAGCAAATCATCTCTTTATTATGAGCCATGGGTTAGGAGTCGCAGTAGCACCACTGATTCAGTTTCTTGTGCTTCATGGCGACTCCCCTGGAATTTTATTGCTGTGTCCTTTAGAAGCGTTACCACATGTGGTGGATTCAAGGGGTTAAGCAGCTTTCCAACACAGTATCATTGGATACTGGGTGTGTGTGTGTGGAAATTTTGTTTTAACCTAAAGTGTTAGTTTCTGGGAGATGTCTCAGAGTGAGTTTATAATGTATTGCAGCATCCCTGGCCTCTACCCACTAGACGCCAGTAGCAACAACACTCACCCCTGCCCCCGAGTTGTGACAACCAAAATTGTCTCCAGGAATTGCCAAATGTCCCCTTTGGTGCCAAACTGCCCTCCCTGGGAAATGCTGGTGTAGGGACTCATAATCAACCCCACCTCTTTGCTTAAAAGAACTTTTTTTTTTTTTTTCCATCCCAGGAAAGTGGCTGAGCCTTTCCCAAAGCTTTTAATTTTTTCACCCCATGATTCAGTTAAAGTCCAGATAACTATTTTGCCTCAAGAAGGGGAAAGTGAAGAAACTTGTTTCCAGGTATCACTCATGACATACACCAGGCTGAAAAGTTAAGAAAAGAATTTATTGATATACTAAGAGTTAACAAAAAGTTAAGACAAAAGTCCTGACACCTTTGCTAATGACTCTCCCCTGCAAAATAAATTAACATCATCAGTCTAAAAAGATCTGCAACCTATTGCTAGCGTTAGTTCTCCAAAAATACTAGATGCACAGAATCTTTAGATGCACTTGAGCAAAAATCTGGTCCTCTAGGCACTACCTCTCCCCTCCTCCCACCTCTTTCCCCCAAACCATTGTGGGTTTCCTGGGGGAAGCATTTCCTTTAACTGGTCCTGATTGAATATGGGGGCTGGGCTGCTGTGCTGTTTCAACAAAGATCTTAAGTTTCCCAGGGCAATAACATATTCGCTTTTGTTCTCTCTCTTTTAGAAAAAGCAAACAAACAGCCACACTTTAAAGTAATTAGAAGTGGCATACATGAATAATTTGGCTTTTTTTTTTTAAATTAAAAAACACAAATCAAGCCAGTGATTGGCAATGGTCCAAAGCTCTGGTCCTCCCCACTAGTTTTCCCCTAATAAAACCTCTAGGCTCAGAGCTCTCTTAGTCAGGTCAGAATCTTGAGTGTAACCCAAAACAAGGAACACTCTTTTTGGTACAAAAAAATATATATAAAAATATGCCAAATCCTCTAAAGAAGATAGACTGGCCACTTCTTCCTATCCGTTACGAAAGCAAACAGAAAAACAGGATTAAAACACCCACTCAGTATACACTGTGATGCAGTTCGCATAAGAAACCCTGCAGGATAAACAAGTCAGATGTGTGACCAATGCCTAGCCACACACACACACACACACACACACACACACACACACACACACACAGCAGCAAAAAAAGTACTACTTTTATTTATTGGTAAACATGACGACCAACTCTGAGCACCTGTCCAACTCTTCAGCGAAGGCTGTCACGCCTGCACGTGTGTACACACACAAACACACACAAACAGGAACCTCTTGGAGTCGCAAACACCAAGAAAGACACACAACACAGCAAGAAGGCAAAGTGGCTGGGAGCAGGGTGTTTGCAGATTCAAACTTTGGGACTGAAGTAGCTGGTAAACAGAAAGGCACCTAATCAAGGTTTGGAGACCTGGCTGCTGGGGCTGTCAGATCAGCCCAGGTCAGGGTCACCCTGAGGGCTTGCAGGGGAGAGCTGCTACTGGCCTGGCTCTGCAGCCTCTAAGGCAGCACAACTTGGAGGTTATGAGCTCCTTTGAGGGGGAGGCAGCCCAGGAGAGCCCCTTTAGTCTCACCCAGGGACATCTGGGGACAGGAGGGGCCCAGGGTGCTGGCACTCCTTCCTTCCAGACTGTGCAGTACACTGGCATCTTGCCATCTCCTGCTGGGGCAGTGGAGGGGGCATTCTCCCCCTTTACTGCCCACTTTCCAGTTTCAGCCTGGCTGTCCAGGACCCCCAGTCCTCAGGTTTGCCAGGGTGGGCACCACTCCTGCTGCAGCCAGCATGGCTATCACATACAAGAGTCGGAAGCTGCATTTGGATGCCCCTCAATGAGGTCCTGGATGTGATCTGTCCCCAAAGGCACACTGTTGAAATCGATTTGGCTACACAAAAGCCATCTCTTCCTATTTGGCATGGAGGGTGAGGGACTGAGGGGACTGGAGTTCTGGCAGGCCCACCCTCAGAAACCAGAGCCCACCGTGTCCACTGCACTCAGGGCTATGGGGACAACAGAAGATCCCACACGTGCTGGCTGATGTTAACCGATAATTGAAGCAGAAATAAAGTTCCCTGCATTCCCACCTTTTTTTTTTTGGCATAAAGACCAGTGACCCCACTCACTGACGTACCTCTCTGCCCCAAATCAGTAATGGCAATTCTGTTGTTGGTTGGAATCGCCAAGACAGCTGCCGGACTCAGCCATCTGGGGGGAGGCGGTCGGGCTGGCAGCTCTGGCCTTTCCGAAGGCCAGGTGGGTCACTCAGATTTTGTCCCATTTCCAAAATGGTACAGGGATACAGCTTCTCAGCTGGGTAAGAGAACACAGAACCCCCAGAAGTGGGGAGGGATTGTCAGGGGAAGGTAGGTGGGAACTGTGGAAAGCACCTGCACGGCAGCTGGAAGCCAGCCGATGTCGGGGAGGGGGGGACCTACTGCCAGCAAATGCCCACCTCCCAGTGGATCTGGGGCAGTTTGTGGGGCCATGATTAGGACTAAGACAGTCCTTGAACAGGCTGGCAGAAAGGAAGGCAGCAGCGGCCCCCGACACTCAAGAGGTTTAGGTGGAAGAGCTCTGGGATCAGCCCCCTCCCTGCCCATGCTGGACTCTTGAGTCAACATCTGGGGGCTGCTGCTGTTAATCTGAATCAGGGTTAGATGGCACCAACACCAATCTCTTCAGGGTTCATGATCCCAACTGCCACACCCATCCTCTTTCATTAAGGCCACAGCCCTCATCTGTCCCGGGTGGGGGCAGGGACAGGGAGGTGGACAGTCCCCTCACCCTTGCCAGCTCAGGCATTGCTGAGGGAGGAGTTCCGACCAGAAAGGCCCCTTTCCTGCTCCCCCCACCCTTCCACACACTGAGCAGAGTCCTCCCTGGAGCAGATCCCCAGGCCTTACCTCCCCCCAGCCCTAAGTACACCTTCTCTTCCAGCCGCTGGGCAGAAACAGCCAAGCTGGGCCAGGAGAAGCCCCCTCCTCTAACACCTGTGCTCTGGGAAACTGGGAGGCAAGGTGACCACCGTTCTCATCACAGGCCACGGAGGCAGTTAAAACAGTGAACATGGTCCGGCTCAAGAAACACAGGATGCTCTCGAGAAACATTTCGCTGAGCCACAGGCGGCCACCTAGACTTCCTGAGGCAAATGGAGAGCAAAGCGAAGGCCCAGAGGTAGGAACAAGGGCGAGGCCGGGTGGCAAGGCATCACGGAGCCTCCCCTGCCAAAGTGGCAGGCGGGGCTGGGTCCAGGGGAGTTCTCATCCAAGCCTGCCCTTGAAGGAGGCCCCCGGCCCCCGGAGAGGGTTTGGGATGCGGGCCATGTATCAAAGCAAAGCCAGAGGCCAGAGAGGGGCAGGTGAGACCTGGCAGCCAGGGGGTGTCAGTAATGTCTCAGGCTGAAGAAGCCCACGCTGGTGGGAGACTCCTTCACCGTGACTGTGATGAGGTTGGCGGTGACGTCGGTGACGAAGACATGCTCAATGAGGCTGCGGGTGGGCTTCCAGTCCTGGCTGGTTTGGACGGACACTGACAGGTTCTGTCCGGCACTGGGCAGGGAGGCCGAGTCAGGGTCCGAGTCGGAGCTGCTGTTCTCTTCGCCGGTGCTCATCTCAGACAGTGTAGCCGGCTTCCGCGCCTCTCCCGGAGTCGGGTGGCCCTCCTGCCCTGGGGCCATGCTGCCCTTGACAAAGTCCCTCTTGCCGGCAGGGGTGGGCAGGGCTGCTGCCCTGGAGGCCAGCTTCTCACTCTTGCTGGCGTCGGTGGGCAGGCCAGCCCCACTCACCGCAGTGAGGCCACCCCCGGCACCCTTCCCAGTGGCTGGGTGGGTGGCAGGGTTACCCTTGGTGGTTGTGGCATGGCGGGCGACCGTGCCCAGCCCTGGTGTGCCGTTCTTGACACTCTGTAAGTCCAAGACCTGGAGGCTCAGCTCCTGGGTGGGTGCAGGCTGGGGGCCCAGGCACCCGGCAGGGACCTTGTTGCCACCGTGGACGTGTGGAGGCCCTCCTGTGCCCCCCACTTTCTGCTCCAGAGCACCACTGGGGGCCTTTGGGACTTTGCTTCCCGGGGGGCTTATCCCCAGCTCCCCCTTCTGCGTCCTCACCTTCAGGTCCAGCCCTAGGCTGCACTTACTGGCAGTTGGGGCCCTGAGAGCCAGTCTGCCGGCGGCCTGGGCCTGGCTCTGGCTCATCCGGTTCATGTAGTGCACGATGGAGCTCTGCCAGCTGATACCACCCCGGCTGGGGCTGCCGGCCATGCCCTTCATCAGGCTGGCCAAGTTCTCCGGGGTGGCCATGGTGCTGGGGCCACTGCAAGCCTCCTTGGCATGGGCCTTCAGGGCTGCCAGGCCGGCCACAGGGGCACTGAGCGGGGGGGGCAGCTTGCCGGCCGGTGCCCCTAGGTCCTTCCGGGCCGTCTTCAGCACCTTGGCCAGGCTCACGGGCCTCCGGGCTGCCTTCTGCTCTGGGGGCAGGGGCTTGCGGCCCCGCTTCTTCCGGATAGGATCCTTCAGTTCGGGCTTGGCTACCAGGATCTGGGCCTTCTTTTGAGGCACTGGGTGAGTCTCACGGCCCCGGGGGCCCCTCTTGGCGTCTAAGTCGCTGTCGTCCTCTTCATCTGAGGAAGATGAGGAGGACGTGGAGGAAGAGGAGGAACTGCTGGATTTGGATTTGGAGGGGGCGTCGGGTTCCTGCAACGACAAAGGGGAAGGTGTCACTTCTACAGCCTGGTCTCCAGGGGCATCAGACACCTTGGAGCCAGCCCCTCCTGTGGCTTCCAGACCCGAGAGGCAGCCAGGAGGGAGCGATCTCACTGTTTGGTTCCAGAAAGGACTGAAGAGGTCCTTACGAGGTCCCAAGAAATGCAGTTAAAAGTGAAAGAGAACGAAGAAAAATAGGTGGTTCACAAAGTAAAGCCAGAACGATGGAGGGAAAGGCTCACATGCTGACAATGGACGCCGAGCTTTCCAGGGACGCACGGGGAGCTCCTGGCCCTCGGCAGACACCTGGAAAAGGGAAGTTCAGAGCAGTGTGATTCACGTGTCTCAGAAGGGAAGGGTGGAGTGAAGCAGGGTGTGTGAGAGCCTCGTAACCTAAAGCGACTGGACATCTTGCTTCCATCTCCCCATTTCCAAAGCTGACCCCTTCAGAACCTTCCAGCACATAGGAAAACAAACCATTGCCCTCCTCATCCTCTGGGTGTCACCCCAAACACTAATTAAGCACACCCTACTATTTCTCAGGTCCCTGTGTAAGAAGTGTGCTTTAGGTAGACAGAGCCAACACCTGCTCCCGGTTGCAAAGCTCGCCTGCCCCGAACTGGGGATGATGGAATCAAACCCAGGGAGTCTGGGGCCTCCCTGCCTGGCTGGCCCCCCGCCTTGCTGATGTTCCTCAAGGTACATGCCCCACATTCTCCTGCAGTAAAGCTGACTCCTCCAGCCCCATTATCCTGCTCAAAAAGAACATTTTGAAGACAAAACCAGGCCAGCGTACCCTAGCCAATAAGGCTCACGGCAGGGTTCTCAGCCTTCTGGAAGGGCAGTTTTGTAAGAAGTGACTGAGCTCCTGGCCAGTGTGTTGGTTCAGGCCCTGGGGGCAGTGCCTTCAAGAGAGAAATCAAAGACACATCTAAGACTGAGGCCGGGACCCCTTCCCTATCCTGCCTCTGAGCTACTGGAAGGAGGGGCTGTGCCATGGAGCCCAGGTGTGTGCGCCCCTCTTAGCTGCGCCTACCTGGCAAACCTATGAGCACCTACTGTGTACATGCTTCCTGTTTTTTGTTCCCTGTAAGCCAATGGAGGTGAGAAAGTGGCAGAGTGGACGTCACAGGACCAGGAAGCCAGCTTGGGGGGCTTACCATTGCAGGGCCCTCCCCAGAGAGACAGGGCAGGAGGTGGAGAGCTGAGGTTTGCTGTTGCCCCCTGCTGGCAGAGGCTCACAGCGGCAGCCTAGAGAGAGGCAGAGTCGAGGTCTTCTGAGCAAGGGAAAGACTTGGAGGTGCCAGCTGGCCTCCTTCCCCAAAGCCCGCAACCCTCCCGCCACTGCCTTCCACTCAGCTGGCTGAGGGCCACTGCTGGGAGGGGAGCAGCCACCCACCTTGAGCTTGGAGTGCCGGCTGCAGGGGGACATCACCGTGTGCTTCCTCGGCCTGCCCCTGGGCCGCTTGCCTCTCTTCCGGTTCTGCACCTCCTTCTCGTGTTCCCTGAAGACAATCAGCAATCAGAGTCACAGACTTTCCTTCTGCCACCCTGGAACCCCGTGGTTTCAAACACCCCCAGGTAGCTTAGCACCAGTTTCCCTGCAAAAACATATCCTGTTAATTAACACATCCAAGGCAGAGGTCCAGACCCCCCCTCTTTGCATTAGGGGTCAGTATTATTTTTACCTCCATCTATTTCATTTACATTTGGGTAAAGACAAGTCACGAAATTCAAGTAAAGCTGGGAAAGGAACGGTTCCCAGTTTTCTCCAACTCCTCTTAAAACCCTGTGCGAATCCTGGCCACTTTCTGCAGGGAGATGGTATTGTGGAAATTCTACAATACCACAACTAGAAGGAGGCTTTGTGGTCACATGGTCCAACCCCCTCACTCCAAGTAAGAGAGTCCAGAGGTAGGGAGGTGAGGACCACTGCCCCCCATTCTCAGTCTTCTAATGCCCGCACAAAATCTCACGGTCGTCAGAGCACTGGGGTAACCAAGGGCTCCCGGTCCCCACACGGTCTACCCAGAGCCAGTGCCCCTGGCTCACATTTCTTTTCCGGTTTCCTCTTTCTAAGCCCTTTCTCTCCCTAGACTCCGCTCTAGATGGAAGTACTGGTGACGCCTGATTCCGAGGTGGCCGGGGCTCAGGGCTCAAGGCAGGACACCGTTAACCAGCTCCATGACTTGGGGTCAGGGAGCCAAGAAAGCCGCCTCTACCCACCAGCCCCAAAAGCCTCTATTCCAGGCTACCCCCGGGGAAGAGGCTCTATCTGGAGCAGTTTCCCGGTAATCAAAATGGGCAAACATCATCGCATTGAGGCCTGTAAGGTGATCTCTTAAAGAAGCCAATTAGTACAACGAGACAGAGCTCATACTCAAAGCAGCCCCAACCTGTCTCCTAAAAGAAGAGGGGTCTCCGCTGACACATTAACCTGTATCCGTGAGCTCTGAACCTGAGACTTTCCCTTACAGTCAAAGGTCACATCCCCACACCAAGCAAATCACCACCAGTTCCTAGTTCTCAGAGGGATCTCTGGGGTGGACAGGAAGGCAGAGCACCCACTTTCCCAGTTTTCTCTCCCCCGTGATGTAAACCAGACCACCCCATGGTTCTTTGTAACTGCTGCATCTATCTCTCTGGTATTTGCTAACCTCAGTTCCTGTCTGCTGTGCTGTTAAGTAAAAGTGACGTTAAGGACACACACTCTCTCGACGGTCAGGACGCTGTCTTACAGAGAAAAGTACCAGCTCCCACCCTCTGCGACTTACAGGACCTGAGTTATGGAGTAAATAGCAGACAGCTTGCTGATAAGCTTCTTCAAAGGCACTGAGGCAAAGCATATGTTCGATGTATTTTCTCTCACCCCCCCCCCACCAAAATCTATCTCTATTTTTCCCCATTGCCATGGCCCTTCTGAGAAGACCCAAAATGTCCTGCTATAGTGGAAAAAAAGTGGACACAGCTTGAGCTACCAGAGAACAGCTGGCCGGATCGACCCCATCTGGGAAAGATTTTGAGCACCTAATTTATCAGCCTCTATCAAAAGGGCAATCCCCACACCTTGCCCCCACCAGCCTGCTCTGGAATAGCACTCCCTGGAACCTTATGCCATCACATGCCCCTCACCACCCTTTCCCCTGAGTATCTCAAAGAGGTCTCTTTTAACCCAAGTCTCCTACCTAAAAACAGATATGACATCTAGAATTACAGAAGTAAATTCAGCCCCTCAGACTGGTAAAGGGGCCCCCGTGGTGCTCACTTGGTGCTAGCTGTTTTGCAGCACAGAGAAAAATAAATGTGTTGTTCTTGGTCAGACACACCACAGTAGGCATAACTTTCTGCTGTGTGTCCCAGCTCCCTCTCTGAGCCTTCTCTTGCTCAATGGCACCCACGAGGAGGACTGGGAGGCCAGGTCTGCAATTTTTAGGGCAAACCTGCCATCCTTGTTTTTACCAGTGCTGTTTGCAAACTAGTCAACAGAAAAGGCCAAGAAGAGAAGCCAGAACTTTTCACGAAGGAACCAAGAAGGTTCATTTTGGCAAATCTGGCTGTCACAAAGACCAAAAGCAGCACTTACTCAGTGACTCCCAAGGTCTGGGCACAGTGCTGGCCAGCCGAGGGAAGGTGGGGAGAGGACTCATCTGGGACCTCAAACCACAGCCCAAGCCTGGGACTCCAGGAGCGCCATCACTGCCCTGTACGACTGTGTGACAGGCCAGGGTCCCCCCAACAGTCTCCCCCTCCCACAGGTCTGTTAACTTTCTCACTTCTTCTGGAAAGCCAAGAGCAGCCTCGGGTCCAGGATATTTTCCTCTGGCTCCCAGCTGTTGTGTCTGGAAAAGCAAAGAACAGGGCATCTTAAAGCACTAGGCACTGACCAGCCACTTCAGAAACAAGCCCAAGTGGGGTTGCCCCATTGCTCTCCGAGCCCTGTTGGCAGCCAGGGCACTGGGGTGCTGGGGAGAGTCCCGAAAGGTCTCACCCACGCCCAGGACGAGCTCCTGGACACCGAACTCTTGAAGCCAACACCGTGTCCTCAAACTCAAAGGGAAACCACTAACTCAACCCCCAATTAACATCCGGCCTCAGGAGGACTCTACAGCCGCCCTCTGGAGGAAAACAAATCCCAATAAAATGGAAAGTTGCAGAGAGGGAAGACCCCAAACCCTGGTCCGGAGCCAAGGAGGGAAGGGAAGGCTCCTTCAGGATGCAAGGAGAAGGAGGTCTAGGGGCACAGAAACGCAGCCCAAAGATGTTGCCGTCGCCCAGGCCTACGCGGGCCAGGAACTCGGAGAGTTAAGCAAAGAAAGAAAAGTGGGGTCCGGGAAGAAAGGGGAACTGGGTCTGCGCGATTGTCTGTAAATAGAGCCCCTTCCGGGATGCCAAGTCCCCTCCCATCCATTAAAAGAAAAGAAAAAAA